TGGGTGTGTGTGTGTGTGTGTGTGTGTGTGTGTGTGTGTGTTTATGCGTGTAGAGCCTGGCGATCAATCTACGTACTTCGAAAAATCAGCAACTTAAGACCCTATGGAGCACAGTTCTACTCTGATACACATGGGGTTGCCATGAGTCAAAATTGACTTGACTAACTGGTGCTGGTGTAGTAACCTGGTTACAGTATATACAATATGGAGGCAAAATGAAAGGAAATAGATAAATGCAAGGACTTTCCAGCTGCTTTGCTCCATTTATCAAATGTTGCTACGAATCCCAGCTCAATTCCCAGTTTCCACTGGGTAAGCAACCAGAAGGTAAGAAGAGAGCTGCAGTGGCTCCTGGGGGCGGAAGGGGCTCAGTAATGACAAAGGAAAGCAAAGAGCCAATCACCACTAACTAAATCAGCTGGGAGGAACAGGTGCTTGCCCATTGCTGCAGCACCAAAAACTGGTCCAAACCTTCTGAAGGACAAGGAGCAAAATGTCCAGAGACTTTTCAAAAACTCTCCCACTAAGAGGAACGAGGGCTCCATGGAAAAATGGCAATTCCAAGACTGAGGCACAGAAAGAACAAGAAAAGGTGTGCTTGAACACCTTCCCATCCAGAAAGTAAGGAAGTGCTCAAAGAATGATGGGGACACATCCAAAGGACAAGGAGCCTCTTGAAGTTCTCTCCTGGCCACACATGGTACAATTTGTGCATTAAAAAGAATAATCAGCCGTGTTCTTCAGATTTGTGAACTGTATGCATCTTATACCTCAATAACAAAATTTTAGAAGCCAACCACCCAAACATTTAAGGAAGAAATAATACCAAATTCCACACAAACTCTGCGAGAAAACTGAAAAGTGACTTCCCAGCTCTTTCTGAGGCCAGCATTACCTTGATACCCGAATCAGACAAAGAAAGAACAAGAAAACAAAACTGCAAGCCAATATTCCTCATAAACATAAAGGCAAAAATTCTTAAGATTTTAGCGAATTTAATCCAACATGTATAAAAAGGATAATATATCATGACCAGGTAGGATTTACCCAAGAATGCAGTCTATCCTAGAAATTAAGTCAATCAGTGCAGTTTACCATATTAACAGAAAAACCACATGATCACCTCAAAAGCTGCAGAAAAAGGATTTGACAAAATCCAACATCCATTCCTGATAAAAACACGCTAATCCTGGGGCCAACCAAAATCGCCTGCCCAGCATCACTAGGAGGAATTTTTGCCACAAACATTTAACCTGGATCTAATCAGGCCTCTAGACCCACCTCCCAATTTACAGGAAATTCAGAGGGTGAAGAAACAGGTTAAATGATACCACAAGGAAGCAATCTGACACATCCAGAAGGCGGACCTTCTACAGGGAAAATGCCACAATAAATGTTGGGGAACTGTTCTAGAAGAGAGACCAAAGTAACCAGTTGCAATGTGTGAACCTAGACTGGATCCTGTTAATGTGACAATTTGAGACAAGTTAGGAAATGTGACCATGGACTCAAAGGTCAGAAGATACCCCAGAACAGCAAATTTCTCAGGAGTCTATCCAAGCACTGTAGTTACACAGAAGAGTGTTCTCATTCTAGAGCTGTGGTTCTCAACTAGGGTAACTGTACCCTCCTAGGGTTGTCTGGAGACATTCTTGGTTGTCAGGACTGGGTGGGGGGTCACCACTGTCACCTAGTAGAGAGCCCAGGGATGCTGCTAAACATCCAACAATGCACAGGTCAGCTCCCACCACAAAGATTCTCCAGTCACAAGAACCCTCGTCTAGAGGAATGCTGAAGATTCACAGAGATTCATGGTGAAGTGTTATGATGTTCGTTATAATGTTCTTATATATTTAGAGATATAAAGAAATACGACAAAGTATTAATATTGAATCCAGGTAGAAAGACTATGGGTATTCATTATATTATTCTTTCAACTTTTCTAAGTGTTTCAACTTTTTTTTTAATAGTAATTTAAGTTGGGGGAAAATAAAATAACAAAGGTGGGAAACCTGATGGCGCTAGGGGAGCTGCCCCACATCCCTTGCAGGAAGGGCCCCGGGATCCCCCGTAATACTGGGTCGGGACGCCTGGCAGGGGCCAAGGCTCAAGAGGCTTTGACTGAGCTTGTAGCTCATACGGGGAAACGTCTCAGGTGCCACAGAGAACACTTCGTGGGAATTCGATGCGCAGCCAAAGAGGGATGTGGCCCCAAAGAACGACGCACAGTCCTCGACAGACGTTCATCCACTGCAGGGCAGTCAAGGGCCATGCGGACGGCCGCCACCCGGGTTTGTCCCGTAGGCTGGCCGAACACCAAGGACTTGGGCCATCCTGCCTGGGAGGAGGTGGAAAGCACCGAGGAGCCCGAACAGGGAATTTCTGGACGTCGTTCTAAGAGGGCAACTAACTGACAAAACTGAAGGGACGCATCTGTCACCAAAAGTTATCAAAGACTCCGCGTCAGGAGTCGGGTCAACTTTATGGATCTCTTCTGAGCGACACCCAGAGAAAAGGCCGACCTGCACAGAGACCAAGAGCTCCCTGCTGCCCGCCGGGCGGGTTCACCCCGGGAGTCAGCTTCCCCGAGGAATCCCTTGAGTAGCCCGCCGCCCCGCCCGCGCACCTCGGTGGTCGTTCTGCAGCCGCAGGCGCTGGTTGTACAGGCTCTTCTCGGTGAGGTGCTGGATCTCCAGCAGCCCCTGCACAATCTCGAAAACGGTGCCGTCGAGAAGCGCCAGGGCCAGGTCGCTGAGCGTGGTGTAGGACAGGCGCTGCTGGAAGGAGCTACGGGCAGAAGGGGCGGTGAGCGCGGACGGGCCGCAGGTCACCTCGGCCCGGTCGCCGCCCACCTCGCCCGGGGTTGCGCACCTGGGAAGCTCCTTGACCAGGCTCTGCAGCGCCGACAGCAGCTGATAATGTCGCTCCTGCTGCCGGGCCCCGTCCGCCGCCTCCTCGAAGGCGGCGGAGTAACGCTCCATCTCGCCGGCGCCCCGCCCGCCGCCGGCCACAGCGACGCGTCGCGTTTCTTTTACGTCAGTCGAGAGCGCGGTGCGTTCCGCGGCCCTGCCGAAGCTGGCTCCACCCCTGCATTAGTCGGAGACAAACTCGCCTCGCCTCAGGTCCAGCCGCGTAGAAGCTCGCCCCCGCGTCGTCCTGAACGAGGATCGCCCCTCCTCGAGCCGGTCCCGAGGCTCACCCAGGCCCTTCGTGGAGGCGCCAAAGGGAGTCCCGCATTGTCCCCGCCCCTTAATCTGCTGCCCCGCCCCCGCGCCCGCGGAGTGTGACTCCACCGCCTCGGAATCGCGAGATAGCAGGCTAGGCAGCCTCGCAGCAGGTGGGATCGCCCGTGCCTTCGCCAGGGGTCAGGCTCCCGCATTCCCGCGCGGGGCGGGGTTGGGCTGTGTCCGCGCCTCCCACCGGCCTGAGACCGCTGCGGTCTCTGCCTGGCAGTTCCCCAAAGCGCGCTTGGATGACGGAGCGCACAGAGTCCCAGCTCCGCCAGTTACAAATGACCTTGAGGCATTCACGTTCTCTTGAGCCTCAGTCTCTTTATCTTATAGGGAATAATAAAGTAGTACCCACTTACCCCATGCTTGTGAGGATTAAGTGCCATAGTGTCTTAGTGTCTGTAGCATACCTTCACCATTGCCACTTCCGTGTATGCCGCAGGGCTGTGTCGAGCTCTAGGGGCACGGCGGGAGTGGGGGGAATAGGCCACCCCTAGGACAGGACGACCACCTGGATACCTGGCCAGTAAGTCTGGGGAACACTAGCAGAGTCAGGGCAGGGAGGGCCTGTGCCCGGGCGGGCCCGTCGGATCCCCAGGCTCCGGGAAGGGAGGGCGCCCCAAGCGGTACAAGCACTGCAAGTTCCTGGCCCTGCCGTTTAACTGTTCCACTAATTGGACAACAGAATACAGAAGAAAACGCGGCCAAATGCCTCATCCCAGCCATAAGAATAAATCCCTTGGCATCCACAATTACACTTTCTATAAACTACAAAAGGCTACCGAGTAGCCTGAGGGCTCATGGTGTGGGGAAAGGGAGGATTTCCACCATGGAGAAGTAGCATCATATCAATGTCTCAGTGGGAGGAGGTCTAACTCTGGCTAAAATGAGGAAGGGGGTGCTGTACAGCAAAATGTAAAAGCTGGTAGAATCATGGCAAAACAATCAGAAAGAAAGAAGGCTTCTGTGATAAAACTTAGAGAATGGATCCAAGTGGCCAGGGATGGCACAGGGCACATCCCTTGGAGCAGAGGAACATACTGACCTGGGGGCTCTGAAGGGTCAAGTCCAAGGAGTGGAGCTATCCTGACTTAGGGCCACCCCCAGGGTGGTCCCTGCACACAGTAGCTCGGCCCCAGGAGGGCAGTGATGGGGGAAGGCTGCAGGACAGAAGGAAGAGAGGTTGCTCAGCAGGGAGCCATCAAGACACATCTGGTTGTGTGGCTGAGGTTGGCAGGTCTGCACGTATCAATCCCCAAGAGCCGTAGCCGATGGAAGTAGTCATTCTCTCAGTACCTTGGGTCCCTGTCCACCAGGGGTCCCAGTCTAAGGCTAGGTGGTGGGTGGCACTGGGTCTGTCTGGCCCTCCACCACCAGGCCAGTACTGTGACTGTGACAAAAGACTACCCTGGAGCTGTCTGGCTGGGACAGTTGGAGACTGAGTCTCCATCTGGGACTGCTGTGATTGGTCAGCCCTGTCTACCTCCAGCCTGAGTCCAGACTTCGGGTCCCCAGATCCCCTGTTCCTGAGGCCCCGGCCCACTGGCTGGAGGCTTGTACCAGCTTCTGTGCTGGGCACTGAGGATCCCAAGTAACATGACACAGGCCCCACCCTCAAGGAGCTTCCAGCTGTCAGTCTCCCCATTCATGAAGCATGCCCGCGTGAAGCCTGGGGTCTGCACAAAGCTGCCCCTGCAATGGGGATTTGTGCTGTGGTCATTTGGGTGAAGATAAGGCTCTTCAGCTCATTCCTACGTGGGGTGGGGGGATGGCGAGGGTATCTGGGGCTCTGAGTGTTAAGCATGCCCTAGCCCCTCCCCAGCCTTGACTGGCCTCTCATGCAAGAAGGCCCCGCTGCCACCTCGTCTGACCTGAACCAGCCCCACCACCTCAACAGCACCCCTCTCCTAAGCAGACATGTGCAGTGAATCATGCAGGCATGCTGATCCCTGGGCCACCTCTGGGTCACTGGGGAGGGCCTGGTCTGGAAGGAGGTGTACTGATCAGCCAGAGCCCTGGGGTTGAGTGTGCAGGAGTGGGGGCTGGCATGTGGACATGCAATGTGCACATATACACATACCTGTGCACACAGTCCCTCGTGTGTATGGACGCAATGGGCCTTTACTCTGCAGCCAGTGTCCAAACTGGCTGCTGTGACTGTCTTCAGCAGGCAGTGAACACAGAGTGGCACCTCGGTGACTGAAGTGCACTGGTGGGTGGTGTCCCTGACTCTCCAAATGTCAGGCTGGTTTGGGGCAAATAGGGCGTGTGTTGGTGAAGGCCTACAGTACCTGAGGGTCCTCTGTCTGAGTATCTAGTTTGGACATCCGTCTCTGCCTGTGTGGTTGGCAGTGTGACTGGGTATGTTTGGGCAGGTGCCCCTGAACCTGTGATGTGAAAGGGTGTATGACTCTGTGTGTGTGTGTGTGTGTGTGTGTGTGTGGTCGAGGGCTTCAGTGTCTGTTTCTTGTATGGTTCTTTGTTGCCTGTGCCTCTCTTTCTCCATTTTCTGTACATCTGGTTGTGTGTCTTGTGTAGGAAAACAGTATGCTGTGGCGCAAACATGTATCCACATAAGCCACACAGACAAAGGCTTGAATCAAAGCTGATGAGTCTTGGCAGAATGTCCACGGGATGGGAGGTCTGTGAGGAACTGCTTGGAAGCCATCTCTCACTGGCCTCCCTATCTCGACTGGATGCTGTCACAAGACAGTTCCTCATCGCCTCTCTGGTTCTGATGAGGGGTGAGGCTTTCTGCCCCAACCCCTCAAGACAGAGCTGCAGATGATAAAGCTGCTTTGCCACAGTCTAGAATAGGCTCCTCAGCAACACAGTGTCCCACAGCTTGTGCCATAGCCCTCCTTTTTGGAGTATGGGACTACGACGTGGAAGGACTTTGGGTTTCTCTTCCTTTCACTATATAAGTCATACTCTATCTGAATCTCAAAGTTGCTTGTTCTATCTTTACAGTCAGGGCTTGGCCTTGGCCTGCCTTGCCTGTGCTTGACAAACGGTGCCCAGTATGGGGCCAGTAGAGTTCCTGTGGTCTTTTAGAAGGCAAGGGACTCAGTGGGCCAGGTCAGGGGATAAGAAAGACTCCCCGGATCTGGTAGCGCAGCTCTGGCCTAAGTGGTGGGTAAGAGGAGGAATCAAGGTCTTCCCATTGTCCAACCAGAGATGGCACAGGGTACACTACCTGTTGATAATCAGGATCTCACCAATTTTGTTTTTTAATAAAAAGCAGACTGTTACCGAAGTTGTTTAAACCCAAGCCAAACAATCCTCTCCTACCATCCAAGTAGCTAAAGTTTCCTATATGCTTTTAATAGTCCCTGACCCTTTTGTTTCCTGGAAGCTCCAGTCTGACTTTTAGGCCAGATGCTTCCTAATTCGCAAATCTCTAAATAAAGCTTTTGATTTAGTTCTGCAAATTAACTTTGTGAAAGATTTTAACATTGTTAAAAGTGGGTTTGTAGTGGCCAAGCGCCAGGCCATGTAACACCAAAAGTCAGCGCAGAGCTGTGCTTCCTGGTGCAAGTTGCTTCCTCTGTAGAAGCCTGCCCTACCCGCCTCCGATTCCTGGAGCTTCCAGCCAGAAGAAGATGGTCTTTGGGCCCCTGCTGTTGTGGTGCCTGTCAACATTCTTTGTCTGTGTTGCTGTAAAAAAGAGCCTAATAGAGTTTGGGCAAAAAAACTTACTGTGAAGAGAGAGAAAAAAGTTAAAGTAACCTTGTGAGTAGGGCTTGGGCTGATTCAGTGCATGCATTGTTATAAAAATGTGTCATCCACTTGCACTGTGAATTTTCAAAGCATTAGAAAACGTCTTCTGAGGTCCAAAGTGTTCACTGTATAAATGAGGGCTTGTTGGTTGGCTCAGTGACTTTGGCTAGACTGATAAACCCCAACAAAACTCAGGGCCTGCTGGCAGACTGAAGTGTTTTGAAACAAAGTGGGTAGCTTCCCAACACTATACCCTCTGACAAAGGACTGCTGTCTTTTACAAAGTAAAGAACTTTATGTTCCTGATACAAACACTGTAACTCCTGCAAAAGTCGACCGACCACACTCCACGGGGGCTTTGCCTGACCTGCTCCAGCCAGATGGACTCCATGGGATTAACCCCCTCCTCTCAGAGACTGGTAAGTTCTCAATGCCCTTTGGAAAACAGGCGAGACCCTACAGGCCAACTAGCAAGGTACTCTGGCAGGTGGCAGGTGAGACGGGCAGCCACTGGTTGGCGGCTGGGAAGAGTTAAGCTACCATTTGCCCTCCGTCGCGGCCCCAGTAGGCTGGGCTGACCCGATGACATCAGTATCATCACAGGAGCTGTCTACCAATCTTGATGGACCACACCCCGGAACAGGCCCTGAAGAAGAGCCCACCCCCTACTTTGTTTCCTCCCCATATAAACCCCTGTGTTTGGCAAAGGGGGAGCTATCTTGGAGATGCAGGTCCCAGGT